GCCCAAAAGAATTTACCTTGTCGAATCGATCAATTGATTCTTCGGCACTTTCAGCACTCTGGGGATTCCTTTATGCAACTGTGGCAGAAGTGAAGGAGGGAAATGCTAAATGACTCTACGAAGAGGTACTCCGTACTCGCTGAGAGGCCCCTTTAGGATTCTATTACCGGGTAATAATGCGGTACAGTTTTTGTGGAACTAACAACTGTACTCGTGATGGGGCAGGGGCTGTATACGGGAATGCTTTTACTCGGAGACACTTCTCGGTACACTTCTGTCTCGCTATAGTGCTCACTCGTTCCACGCAAATCCCTCGATCCTCTGCTCTATCGCTGCTCTTACTTCACTACTCTCTCGCTCTAGTGCGCTCTCGTCACACTGCTCTCTCGTTACACTCCTGTATCGCTTGACAACTCTCTCGCTTGCTCCACTACTCGCTCGTTGCACTAATCTCTCTGATCAAAGAGAGATTGTGTTTTGTGTTTTTTATGCGCCATAGAAAACCTTTTATTCTGGAGCCTGGAATCCTCTCTTTAATTGAAACCCCACGTGTTCTTCTGGGCATTCGACTAATCCAAGATTTCATTTTCCATGCCCTGTAAAGGGCGCCACACAGATTGTCAGTCCGGCTATCAAAGGCCGCCCCCACCCATTGTATCCCACGCCGATCCGATCCCCAAGTAAACAAAAATATAAGCCATATCATTGTTTAATTAAATTTGTGAAATAGAAATAGAAATTGAAAATGCTGCAATGCCTGCCCCTGCCCCTGCCCCAGCCCCAGCCCCAGCCCCAGCTGGCTTTTATGGTTTATGCATGACGTTGTCACCAGCTGCCACTGCCACTGCCGCTGCTTCTGCCACTGCCGCTGATAAGAGCCTCCTATCCATCGATAAGGTTCTCACTGCTACCTCCTCCCCTGTCGTAGTATCGGTTTCAGTTTCTTCTATAAAACTTTTGCTTGTTTTAACTTTTAACTCTTGTTGTTGTTGCTGTTTCTTTCCACCCCACTTCCGTTGTTTGGTTACGTCACAAGGCGGGGTCTGTGCGTTTTATCGCCGGGGAAAATTGCCCACGTGCCCAGCGGGAGCCCCTACGAAATCCCCCCCAAAAGTGGAGAAATTTCTGCTCGCGAATTTGGGGATCATCGGTGCTTTCTGGGTGGGATACATATGAAGGGGTATTCTTTTCAATTGAGGAAATCTATGATTGAAGGGCATCATGGTCTAGAAGGGATATTCCTCGTTTCTTTGAGGAGAACCTACTTGTATCTTGAGGTAAACCCATGACTATTTCATGGCTAATCCATGAAAAAAGGATCATTTAGAGGACTCATCTTTGGAACTGGTGCCAAACCGTTCTCTCCTTCCAATCTTCAGGGGATCTTCCGTAGTGGATCTTAAATGGAAATTTAATTTAAAAAGGTGAAACACCTTGTTCCATTCGGGTGTTCCAATATTCAGGTGAATCAGTTTTTGGTGCTGGCCTTGTTATGGATATGGAAATTGTTAAAAGCCTAAAAAGCAAATAAAGGGGCGGGGGAATGGATGTGGATTGGGGCTGGGGATTGCTTTGGTTCGCCGAAATCCCATGCATCATTCATTTTTGGAAAAGCATTTTTATTTACCCAACAAAAAACACACACAACAACAAATCCACACGAAAGTCTCGGGGGAGCACAAGAAATATGGCTTTTTGCGGCATTTCTGCGGTTGTTGGTGTTATTTTTACCCGTGGTTTACCTTTCCGCCCGTATATTTACACACACGGAGAATTTGACGATTGGCAAATGTGCGTGAACTCAATCCCCCTCCGCTTCACCCCCTTACTCTCTTTGAATATGAGGCACAAGGTCGGTCCATAATCGCACACCCCCCTTACCCTCTAAACCCCGTACTCTCCGAGTCCATGGCAGGCTGGATCGGCGGTAATTAAAGCATGGAGACCGACCCCTCCCCCCCCCCCCCACGGCTTACTGCATATATCTACGATGCGAATCGGATTGGAAAATTGATTTCCCAAACCCGATCCGACCAGTACCAGTGCCCCAACAGACCAGCCTTCTCCTCGGAGGCCCGGCCCGGCCCCCCCGACCCCATAATGATAATGATTACACCGCAGCTAATTGGTGCCGCTAACGAGTGCGAGTGCCAGTGCCAGTGCATTAAGTTTTTCCACTTGGGTGACACTTGACATCAGTTCGCTCTCCCGGTCCACTGATCTCTCGGTGCACTTGGCTCTCTCGCTACACTTCACTCTCTCGCTATACTTCACTCAATCGCTGCACTGATCTCTCGGAACACATCGCTCTCTCGCCTCACCCATCTCTCGCTACACTACTTGCTCGCATCCGTTCTCACTCGTTCCACCAAGAGAGTCCCTGCTACACTCGTTCGTTCCACGGATCTCTCGCTACACTACTCCCTCGCCGAAGTGTGGCCCTGTCCTTGTCAGAAGAAGTAAACTGGATAAATCGACACCTGGACCTAAGGGCTAGGGCCACGGCTCTACTCCATACCCGTTACTCGGTCAGTATGGCTTCCCTCCGCCAGAGGGCGCACACTGCACGAAGAAGAGTATGTGAGAGAGGGAGACTTTGAATGAGAAAGCGCGTGGAAGGGGAATGCGTAGCCACTGCAATTTCATCCGATCAATCTGCTAGATATGGTCATTCTCTATGACCTATGATTGCACCTTTATGGGGGCGGAAGGGGGCCGGAGACAAGCTGGATTCACTTTATATTTTGTGGAGTACAAAAAGAAGGATTACCGAGCCCAAAAGCCCAAATCTGTTCCGCTTTTCGCTCTTAGTTTCCCCTCATTGTGTCTGCCAAGCTCTCCTCTATTCCGAGGGGCCACTGTAACAGGTATTAGTCGAACGGTGACCCTGGAGAGCTGTGTGGCCGCTGCTTTACGATGCCATAAACCTGAGCACTCGAGCTGCTCTGCTGCTCTGCTGCTCTGGTGCTCTGCTGGTTGTTTGTTGCCATTTATTGAAACTCTATTGAGAATGATTTTTAATTAGCCATAATATTCCTGTAAACCGAACGGCAACGCCCCCTGGCAGCAGCAGCAGCAGCAGCACTCATTAGCAGCCGCCTCTGCGCCTCGCTCCCCGGTCCAATCCCCCAACCCAACCGTTCCGAACCGATCCCCTGGTCAAACATTTTTCCATGGCCTGGTGGCTTGGTCCAAAGTGCTTGCACAACTGTTGTTTGCCTAACGAGGTAGTGCCCTCGACCGACCCCCCATGCGGCGGCAAAGGCAGCGGCAGCGCCAAGGGGGGGGGGGGGGGGGGGGCGCAACCTTGCGTGCACCTCTTTGGGTTAATGGGCGGCCAAGACTTGCATTTGGGCTTGGCAAATTACGGGCTAGGAGCACACACGGAGGCACCCACTCCGATGCAAATTTCCACAGCGAAAAGTGCCTTCAAAAATGATATGTTCTACGCCCATCCATTAGAGGGAAGGTTACGCAAATAGCTTGGGGAAGCAGAATGGCGGAGAAGCGGCGAAAAAATAGGCCCAAAGATCGTTCCGAAACCTCCAAAAGCCAATAGCCACAGAAGAAGCGAATGGAAATCTCTCTCATTCACACGACCAAATCATCTATGAATTCCTGACATCTGTTTACTGGAGAGCGATCTTCTCTCTCAAATCGAATGATTTGTCTCTTCTCTTTCGTCTGGCACCTTCCACTGGATCTTATAATAATAAGCTTATGATATATGTACGTACCTCTGATAATATGACTCGTATTCCTCGCTTGTGTTTACAATCGTCCCCGGGGAGGTGTTTTCCCAAGGGGAGAATATGGTAATGGGCGGATCTCCAGTGTCACGCATTCTTGTCTTTCGATTATCGAAGGAGGACTATCTTGTAATAATAAACCAATGATCTGGAGCGAGCATATGATACATATTCTTCTCAGGTGTGTTCTTCTCTCGCATGATCTGGTTGTAATCAGGAAATTAATCCAGGATCGTGCAGAATCTAATAAAGAAATCATTGCAAATGGGATGATATTTATTTCTTTTAAATCTGAAAAGAACATCATCGATAAGGAATAAAAGTACATCGATTTGTCTCAGTAAAAGATCAGAACATCAGAGCAAGTTTTCCTCACAGAAGTGTCAGGTGAAAGACCTAATCCCATGAATGAGAATACAGGTCACATCTGCATCTGTTCAGGCCTGTCCAAGGGATATTACGAATAGGTATTGTACATATTATAATCCATCGAATCACATGGCGTGTCCCTCCCTCTCTGACATTTGGTATTTCTTGGTAACGGAACTACTTGTACTTTTATTTTTAGTGGCAAAAGATAATGGATAACTCATCCCCCATCCGCCGTGCCTCGCAGGGGACTTCCTCCACTTTTGAACAGTCATCGGTAATCGTAAAACTACAAAATAAAAACCTCTTCGAGTGGGCAAGGGACAGACAGCGACGCACTCGACGACGGGGCTTAACTTAAAAAGAAAAAAATTAAGAACACCCTCGTCCGATGGGGCAGTCGCTGAAGTACACACACACACAATATTCCCTGAGTACATAAGCGTGGGCCCCGAAAGATCTTAATTGGACAGATACTCAGCTATTGCGAGACCCTTAAGGCAGACCCTTGGGTGTGTCTCTGGTGTCTGTGTCTATAAATAAACGAGGGGTACTCGCATAAATGACCCCAAGCATGGGATCTTGCTTGGAAATACGAGAGAAAGTAGAAGTTAAAGGCTATATCTTAAAATCCAGAAGAAAGACTGACCAAAGAGTCGTAGAACTCTCCGCTAAAGTGCTCTCAAGATCATCTAATTGTAAAGCTGTAGGGGAGCCCATGCTTTCGATTGCACGATCGATCGTACGAGCACTCTTCTTTCACATTGGGGATGGGATCTGGCATGGAAAGGCATTCGAGATGTGGAGAGGCTAACGAGCAACGATTATTACCCCCATCCCCCATATTATCCTGTGTACTAATTGTTTCTTGTTTTCGGATAGGTTAAAAATGTGATACGCCCCCGCTACTACTCCTCGGAACTGGGGATCCGCGAGAAACTGTTCATCGGCGTGATGACCTCCCAGGAGCACATCAACAGCTTCGCGACCGCCTTCAACCGCACCACCGCCCATCTGGTGAACAAGATCAAGTTCTTCATCTACGCGGACAGCGTGAAGACCAACTACAAGCTGAAGAACATCGTGGGCTTTGCGGACACGCACGAGAACCGGCGGCCCTTCCACGTGATCAAGTACATTGCGGACAACTATCTGGAGGAGTACGACTACTTCCTGCTCGTCCCGGACAATGTCTACGTGGATGCCCGCAAGCTGAGCGCCCTGCTCTACCACATGAGCATCACCTTTGACCTGTACATGGGCGGCACCCACATCGGCGTCCCCTCCAGCGAGGGGGACGGCCCGGCCGGCTCCGGCTCCGGCGATCGCAACTACTGCTCCCTGGAGGCGGGCATCCTGCTCAGCAGCAGCGTGATCCGCAAGATGCGGAACAACCTCGACCGCTGCGTCCGCATCGGGATCACCGGCGATCACAGCGTCAATATCGGGCGGTGCGTCAAGTATGCCAGCCATGTGCCCGGCTGCCAGGAGAGTTTTCAGGTGAGCGGGAGGTCACGGAGGTCCAATTTATGGCAGATATTTCACAGTTTCACAGTTTGCGGGATACTGAACGCACAGCTGTTGTCTGCGTTTCACAGTTTTAGGGTCACAGAGAGAGAGAGAGAGAGAGAGAGGGGCGGAGAGAGAGAGAGGCAGAGAGGGAGACAGAATTCAGCTTCTTGTTCGTTTCGTGTGTCGTGTGATGTTCTTTACACGCTTCCAACAGCCGTTTTTATTCTATTTATTTAAACAATTTGCCGTTAACTAAAAAGACACACACACACACACACAGGGAGCTCTCGGGCAGATCTCGAGAAAAAAAAATCAGTTCATTGATATTACACACACACGCACGCACGCACACGTATACGCACACAACACTCGTGCAGAACAGTGTGACCCTGAAAAGGCAAAGAAAATAAAAAAGAGCAAAGCACACACACACACTCAGAGATCCATTCGTGAGCGATGCGTAAAGAGGAGATGAAACTGAGAAGAAGGAGAAGAGGCCAATGCCGAAGCCTTTGATACCCTTCTGGTGGGATCTGGGGGCCCGTGGGATGTCCAACATCTTCTCCGAATCGTTGGATCCTCCGTCTGCAGAGGGTATAAGAAGACGAAGCAACACAAAGCAGAGCCATGTTCTTGCTGCTGCCGCCTGATGCTTGTGCGGCGTGGCAGTGCCCCAAAAGGCGAGACCAACACGGTCCACGATCCACGATCCACGATCAGTGCCCCAAAAGGAGGGGGGGGGGGGGGGGGGGGGGGGGGGGGGCACACACTTGATGGACAACAGTTTATTTAATTTCCAAGCAGCAACAAAAGAATTTCCAAGCAGTCCAATATTCGTAAGTGGCTAAATGAAATGCGAGCAAGACTGTCCATTAGACGGATGGACAGGGGACAGACGGATGGACGTGGGATGGATACGCTGGCGGCAGGAGGGCGACTGAGAGCCTTACAATTTAAATGCAGGCAGGGGAACTCTGGTAGAGGTTTCTTTAGAAGCCTACGAGTACGAGTCTTCATCGATCCAGAAATGTATAATAGATACATATGTATGTATACAGATAGCCCCATCCAGATACCTAATACTTAAGGGTATCCAGCAAGTGATAGCCCAAAAATCACGGAAACTTCTAACCCAAATTGATTCCTAAATTAATAGACTCTTAAATGAGGCAGGAGGCAGTCTGGCAGGCAAAGGCAGTCTTCCAAAGAGATCTTCCAAGAGATCCAGCATTCGTATTGTGTGTGCCTGAATGTATACATACATATAGTTCCTGTAGGAACTGATCCATAATTCCTTTAATTCCTTCCCACAAATGACTACTCAAAATCGTGATGGAATTAATTTCTTGTGCGAATAAATTTGGCCATTCAGTCGGGATCTGTTGGGCTTCTATTTTGTGTGCCTTAGTCATTATCATTTCTGATTATTGATTACCTATTTTTGATTTCTGGATTCTGCTTACTCTGCTAATTTCCGCGAAGTAAGTAATTGATTTTTTAGCATAAACAGGGCGCCCGCCCTGCCCAAGATCGCTTTTCGATGTTCGATGTTCGAGTTTATCATGTTCTTTCGGGTTCTGTTCGATTGGTTTGTTTAAATTTCGTTCTGCTGGGTTTATTTATGTGGCAGCAGCATCACATCGCAGTGGCAGAGGCAGAGGCAGAGGCAGGAGATGAGGCTCTGTTTGGTGGCTGAAGATTTGAATACCCTTTCATTTCTTGAAGCACTACGGAATATGCCCTCTTCGATGGCCCTTTCAAACATCTCTTATGAAGCGTACAGCCCTCATGGAGAGGGTATCACGACGCCTGGTAACAGCAGCATGTCATGATTTATGTACATCTTCTCCCCCTCTCTACCCCCCTCTCTCTGTGTGTGTGCGTGGTCCCTCTGGTGTGGATCTGCGGTTGTCGTGTGTGTGAAAGCAGCATTTCGATAAAAATGCGCTAATGTTTGTATATTTGCACTTCTGGTCGCTCCTCGCTCCTCGCTCGTATCTTTTCGCTCGTCTCTCGCTTCGCTTAATTAACTTGCCGAAGAAGTTTATTTAACGGCAGCTTCAAACGGCAGTCCGCTGCAGTGGGGCCCCCCCCCCCCCCCCCCCCCCCCCTGTTTGTGCCTCTCATCTCTGTTTGTCGTTTGTCGTTGGGCACTCTCCTCTCCCACACATCCGACTGTCGCACTCCTCTCGTCACCTCCTCTCATCCATTGTTTGGTCAGTCTTCCTCTCTCCACCTTTGCCCTTGGCAGTGTGTGCCCAAGAGAAAGAGAAATTTGCAAAGCAGCGGGATTGTGTTGGAATTATGCAAACTCTTTTTCTTTGACGACTTGTTTGATGAGAGAGGGAGAGAAGTTTGCTGTGGCACTAGGCAAAATAAGACCCGCAAAGAGAGCGCGTTGCGATTGCGGACCACCTGGGATAATTGCATCAAGCGCGCTGTCACCCAGTCGATTCAAAAGCGTGTCTATGAGAGAGAGAGAGAGCAATTTGAGCAAAGGAGTTGGATCAACCAGTGCAAGGTGTCTCTTTGTAAGGTGGAGCATTGTCGCTCACTCTCTTCAAAGACAACCATCAGAGGAGTGCTCCGTGGCACCCCATGGCTATTCACCTTGGCCAGAGGAGAGTGCCAGAGCCAGAGGCAGATCTCTTTGCCAATCCAGTGACAGATCTTCTTCCCATCCGAGCCTCCTCCGCCGTTTCATTAGTGCGAATATGTTAATTTAATTATGCTCCGAGCAGTCTGCAGCTTTTACGTGTCGTGCAACGCGTAACGAGAAGGAAGTCGATTGTCTGCCCCTCCATGCCACTGCCTTCGGGGCTCTCTCTTTCGTTCGCTCAGAACGGGGCTCTGCCGCCGCCAGACTCTCTTGACTTGGACTTACTCGCGCTGACCTTGACCCTTCCCTCTCTTGTAGGGCATGCGGCAGTATAGCTACGCTCTGAACACGCCGGGGCGCCAGCGGCGGGACTTCAGCGAGCTGGCCAAAGAGGAGGCGTTCCGGAATGCCAGCACCGTGTATCCCGTGCCGACGCCGGAGGACTTCTACCGCTTGCACGCCTACTACTCAAAGGTAAGTCCTTGGAGGTGCCTTCCCACGAGAATCCTTGCCTTAGTACTTATCGAAATCATCTCTGGTCTCGGCAGCAACACCTGGAGATGGTGCAGGAGCGGGGCTATGCGCTGGAGCAGAAGTCCTATCGGATCGCCAACGGCAGCATCTCCAACAAGATACTTGAAATCCGCTGGCCCCTGGGCGTGCCGCCGCCTAGTGCGCCGGAGACACGCCACGACATCCTCATCTGGCAGATGCTAAACGAGACGCACAGCTACCTGCCCAACGGGAACGTGGAGCACGCCGTGGCGCCGCTCACCCGGATCGAGGCCCTCGACTTCGCCAAGGTGCTGGAGATCGCCCTGCAGTACGCGGCCCTGAAGCATCCCGGCCTCAGTTACCACAGCCTGCACACCGCCTACCGCAAGTTCGACGCGACGCGGGGCATGGACTACCAGCTGCACCTGAACCTGCAGAAGGGGTCGGGCCGGCGGCGGCGACTGTTGCTCAAGAGCTTCGAGGTGGTCAAGCCGCTGGGCCGCGTTGAGGTGGTGCCCTCGCCCTATGTGACGGAGAGCACACGGATCGCCATCCTGGTGCCGGCCTTCGAGCACCAGGTGCCGGACGCCCTGGAATTTGTGGCCCAGTACGAGCGCCTCTGCATGCAAAACCAGGACAACACATTCCTGCTGCTGGTGAGTGCGGATCAGAAGTCCTGATGCAGTCCTCCAACTCCATGCTTGTCGCTTGTCGCTTATCGCTTATCGCCCACAGATCTTCCTGTACCGCCTGGACTCGCCCAGCAAAGGCGATGAGGATCCCTTCAAAGGGCTCAAGACGCTGGCCCTCGACCTCTCCTCCAAGTACAAAACAGATGGCTCCCGCATTGCCTGGGTGTCCATTCGGCTGCCCGAGCAGCTGAGCGAGGCTGTCAGGCCCGAGGACTGGCTGCTCCACGCCTCCATGTACGGCCCGAAGCAGCTGCTCAGTCTGGTGGTGGCTGACCTGGCTCTGCCCAAGCTCGGCCTCGAGTCCCTGGTGCTGCTGGCCACGCCGGGCATGTCCTTCAAGGCGGACTTCCTCAACCGCGTGCGCATGAACACCATTCAGGGTTTCCAGGTGTACGCGCCCATCGGCTTCCAGATGTACCCCTGCCGCTGGGCGCAGTTCTGCAAGGAGTGCGAGGCGTGCGACGTGGCCCAGAGCAGCGGCTACTTCGATCGCCACAACCACGATGTGATTGCGTTCTACAGTCGCGACTATGTGCAAGGTGAGTGTCCGGCTTCCAGGGTCCACAGGGTCCACAAAGGCGACACTGACACTCCTCTCTTCCATCTGCATTTCAGCGCGCAAACTGCTGCATCCACAGGGACTGCCCATCATCCGCAGCGACCTGGACATCGATCAGCTGCTGGAGCCGGCGTCCCAGTCCCGCCCCGAGGGCGTCGAGAGCATCCTGGACATGTTCGTGGCCGCCCAGCACTCGGTGCACATATTGCGCGGCGTCGAGCCCAATCTGCGCTTCGGCCACGATGTGCGCAATCATTTGGGCCGCGGCAGCACACTGCCGGAGCAGCTGCCCGAGCAGTGCGGGCGGGAGCAGTGCATCCACTTGGCGTCGCGCAAGCAGATCGGCGATGCCATCATACGCTACGAGGACAGAAGTATTCTCCACAAATAGCCTGATCCAGCTTCAGCTCCAGCTCCAGCGCCAGCGCCAGCTCCTGCCTGTTATATCATCAGTTCCTTTTTAACATATTTCCATGAATGATTGAATGATTGAGTGATTGCGTGATTGCGTGAATGTGTGAATGGGTGGGTGTATGAATGTCAAATAGATCTAGATGCAGGACTTATACAAACTCTTATACTCGCATTTTATGCCTCTCCCCAAGGCTGAACTGGTAAGCAAACCTTCAGAAACGGAATCGGAATCAGAATCAGACTTTGGGATTCCGTACTCTCGTGTATAAGCCCTGCAGCACAGACCTATCTCAATCCACTATAGTGTTTAGACCTTAGGCAATTCCTGTTGTTGCTTGCTTTTAAAGTGAAACTTTCAATGCTCAAACCCAATTTGTTGCATGTAATATACGATAGATACTATCTTTACGAATGGTTGTATGCTCCCATTTAGAGCTGCCAAAACAAATGCCACATGTTCCGAGAGAGCCATTACAAAAAACGAAACAAAAGAGAAAGAAAGAAACATTCGATTTTCGCATGTAAATATTTAGCTTATTTGTATCTCTATAAAAACGAAAGAATTCCTGTACGAATCCATTGACTCCTAGCTAGGAAATATAAGTGTTATACATACGTGTCTGTATAATAGTGGTTTAAGTGAAACGAAACAACGATATACATTTGTGGCTGTAGAAGTGCCCCCAGCTTGCCTTAGCTCTCACGCTCTCTCCCTCGCCATGCCAAAATAGATCGCAACCAGCATTGTTATACATACATATATACAGATATATTACATTAAGAGAACGAACGACAGTGTGTCTATTCGCTTATGGGGAATGTAAGTGTGTTTGATTCCCACTGTTACAATTCATATTGTTGGCCTCGCATCCAGCCCCCGCCCTCCCCTTCCCTTTGATCATCGAATAAGAAGTCTGCTGCCAGTCCAATGGGTGCAATGTATTTTTTGTTGCGTGAGAAACATTTTATTTATTACAAAACGTCAACTGCGGGAACACCATCTTGTCTTGTATAGTTTTTAGTCATACGTAGAGTAGATTATGATACTAGTTCTATGTAGGAATTGTTGTTATTTTGCAGAATAATACAATAATACAATGTGTATGTGTGTATGTCAAATAATCTTTCGTTGTTTTAGTCCTTGCTCAGCAGGAAACTGAGATCCGCTTGGGGTGGCAGCTCCTTGGATCCCCCATCGCTGCCATGAATGAGACGGAGAGGGGTTAACAGTGAGGTGAGGTGAGGTGGGTAACAGGCTTTCGGATCCTACTTACGATTGGAAAAGCTTAGCACTCCGATCCCCCAGGAGGGTGGCCTTGTTGCCCTCGACCCGCACACTGGTGCCCTCTCGGAGGCCGAGGACGGGCCGGCAGTGGTAGGCCACAAACTCCGCGATCCGCTCGTCCCGCGTCTCCCCCTTGTGCTCGCTGTTGGGGTCCGTCTCCAGGTAGTGAGGATTGATGTTGAATGGGACGAGGCCCAGGGCCTCGAAGCTGGGCGGATGGGCCACGGGCATGTCGTTGGTGGTGTGAATGGAGCTGGTGGCCACATTGGTGCCCGCACTGCTTCCCACATAGGGCAGACCGCGCTGCAGCACCTGCTCGCGGATGGGCTCCAGCAGCTGCAGCTCGTAGAGGGTGCGCAGCAGAACAAAGGTATTGCCGCCGCCCACAAACAAGGCCTGCGCATCGCGCAGCGCCTGTCCGCGGTTCTCCTTGGTATGCAGCCCCTCGACATCATAGCCCCAGGGTGCAATCGCATTCCGCACCAGCGCCGTATACTTGTCGTGATCCCTCAGTGCATACGGCACGAAGAGCACCGTCTTCACGTGGGAACTGAAAGGGAAAGCGAAAGTATTTTTGAAGGACCACTGGAAGACTGTTCCAATGCTTACGCCTTGAAGAGATTCTCCAGCTGGGCGCGAGCATGCTCCAGATACCCATGGCCGTGAACTCGCGAAGAGGAAAGTAGCAGCAGATTCGGCACGCTCATTTTAGCTTCCAGTTGGGTTGTGGGTTGTGGATTGTGGAGCCGGGCCGTCAGCCGCAATCTTATCGACACAGAGATTAGCAGAGTTTTATGATCCCCCAAACCCCAAAGCGGATAGAACCAGAATAGAATCGAACTTTTTCTGGAAAAGTGCATTCCTAGGTGTATATCGATAGCAGCTGTGAGCGTGAGATCGATTGCAGTTGCAGTTATTCATCGTATCGCAAATAAATAAGGGCTTTCGATGCGTGCTTTTTTCCAGATAGAGAGGGCGGGTAGATAGAGAAGGAGAGTTTTTGTAACGCTCAGGTGGAAGAAAGCCAGTCCACAGCCAAACACGTATACGTTTATATTTCATTTTGTATCTGAATTTATACATGAATACATTGAAAATCTCTTAAATATATCATCGGGGATTAAACTAAGATTAAATTAAGATGCAACTTTATGAGGAAATAAACAAGTACATACATCCTTCATTTGAAAGACTCTAAAACGAATTTACAAGCCCTGAAAGGTGTATAGGTCCATATTCTATAGGTTCTTGGGGAAGATCAAATTTGTTGGAAGATTGAGTTCAAAAACTTCGGTCTTCAAGCCTTACTACATTTAATAGCTACCAAAGCAGATATCGGTCCCCCATCTGATGTTTTCTTATCATTTCGAATGACTCCCAAGGTTGGATCCATAAAATACGCACATCTATCTACAGCATATAGCTATCGTAGGTACAAAGGGTGTCGGAAGACTGTGGGAAGATCAGGATAGGATAGGATTGTTAGAAAAAACTTCCCATTGCACGGATCTCCGATCTGTCCGATCCTCTAGTCCTTAAATACATTAAGAAACGCTCTCACAGATCTCGTTGCAACTGCAAAGGGTATACTTCGGCTGGCCGAAGCGGGCTTTCTAGCACACTTTTATTTGCAAGAGTCCTTCAAAGGAGGATCCTTCAGGGCCAGTAATACAATTGATTGTTTTAGAGCCTTGCGCATTCGTTGTTAAATGTAAATATAAATGTTAATTAATTGCTTGATTGATTGATTGTTGGTGGAAAGGGGAGTGGGGCAGGGCATACATACATCATATATCGGATATCGTACATCGTACATCTCGCCTTAATTGAATTCTCGCCGCTCTACGCTCGCGCGCGCGCTCTCTCTCTCTCTCTCTTGTACATTTAGATCGTTATCGTTATACATATTAAAAAATCAACAAGTAATTACAGGAGATGTTTCAACATTAATTAGCTATAATCCGCGTATGGTTTATTTGTTAGACAATTACCATTATTACGGCTGCGTGACGGCGCTTACGCTTACAATCGCAATCGCACTCGCACTCCTCCCAGTCCCAGTCCCTGAAGGTTTCCATGGCTCTCTCCATCTCTCTTTTGGATCACTCGTAGTACAAATTGATTAATATAGTGTGTATACATATATAAGATATAGATTTAGCAGCAACTAACTAACACACCGGCTGACGGGAGGCACGGTTCGGCTTTGAGCGTAGTGCAAGAGGATTTTGGAGCGGAGGGCGTAAGTGCTAGGGCGGCTGGTGGATGGTGGCTGGCGGCTTCTCCGCCCGCAAAGTAGTTCGTCGTCGCTGAGAGAAGATGCTTCTCTGCTTCGGCTTCGGCTTTGGCTTCGCCTTCGGCTTCTGCTCGTTTGCTTTTGCTTTTGGTTTCACTTACAACTAGAATTATATAATGTTTTCCATATGGGCTGGGTTTTTCTTTTTCCTATTTTTTTTTTCTTTTCTTTTTTTCCAGTTCAAGAGACACAACACACACACACACTCACACACATGTACGAAATGCATGCTAGAAAGAAGACGGCGGCAATTTACACGGGAAGAGACTGCGGACGGGGCCTCTACTTTGTCGGCTGCTGCGGCTGTTCGTCCGGCAAATCCAGTATCCTGGCCACAAACTCGGAAATGTCCGTATTGCGCTGCAGATGCTCCACAATGAAGCTGTGCTTCAGCAGCTGCTCGTAGTTGGGCCGCGCCATATATTCCTTCTGCAGGCTGGTGGCGATAAAGTCTTCGAATTCGGGCGAGAATGTGCCCGCTGGCAGCCTGGGTGGATCGTCTTCAACCACCTTCGAAAACACACCCAGGAAAAGGGAATTGCAGATTAATGGGAGACTTCGGCGGATGAATGGATGATTACCTGTCGCAGTTGCTCGAATGGCGTCCGCCAATTGTCGTACGGATAGCGGCCGGTGGCCATTTCAATCATGCTTATGCCCAGCGACCACACATCGGAGCGTATGTCGTACTGTGCAGGATTCCCTTGTGGGTCGATGCGCTCGGGGGCCATGTACGGCTTACAGCCGGCATCGATTGTCTTGGCAATAGAGTCCACCAGATAACCTGAGGCCAGGCGGTTGAGAAGACACTGAGATTAATCGAGAGAATGAAAAGCCAGAGGGGCAGGGTATGATTACCTGAGATGCCAAAGTCACAGATCTTCACTTGGCCGGCGCGATTGATCAGTATGTTCGAAGGCTTCACATCTCTATGGATGACCTTCAGTTGGGCGTGCAGATAGTGGAGAGCACTGACCACGCTCATGGCAATCTATGGAGCGATCCGGATGATCCGATGAGAAAACATTTCGCTCCCTTTAATGGAGTCGCTTACCTTTCCCAGCACACTCTCCTCCATGCGCAGGTCGTGCTTGAAGACCTTCGGATAAAACTTGTCCAGACTGGTGCTCATCACCTCCATGCAGATCCAGACGTCGCCCTCGCGGTACATCGCCCCATAGAAGTGAACCGTGTAGGGGCAGTCGCTGGATCGCATCGATATGTCCAGGTCCATGACCAGACGATGCTGCTCCCGTATATTGACGGTCATCGGTATACGCTTTACTGCCAGCACTGTGTCCGTCTGGCGATGTCGCATCTTCTCCACAATGCCGTAGGCACCTCGTCCCAGATCACAGATTCGCTCCAGACTGTCGGCATCTATGTCGAAGGTCTGGTCCCCGATCTGGATGGTGGCACGGGAGTCCAGGTTCCGTGGCGGGACACTATAAAAACAGCAAGAGGACGGCCAAGAGGAAAGTAATGGTTTATCCCTTGGGATTTGGGTTTCGGTCTTGGGGATTCGGGCATAACTTACAGAGCTTGTTCCGGCTCGCGGTGGATACTGATGGGTTGAGGACGCGGACGTGGTCGTGACATTGCGGCTTGGCTCTTCTGGGTATCTCTTCGGTTCTACGTGAGTGTGTTGTTGCGCTTTTCTGCAAGGATTTCCCCCGTTGCTGTCGCACGGATTTCAGTGTGCGTGTGTCCGTGTGCGGGAGGGAGGAAGGGTGATTTAAAATCAAATGTGTGGGCTTTTCTGGAGTTTGGGAGTCGGCGACGACGACGACGGCGCGGCGGCGGCGGCTGTGGCTGCTGCTTCTCTGCTTCTGCTGGCTGCTATTTTTACCACATTTGGTCAAAAAACCTGGTCGTTTTCGTGAAGCACGTTCGCTGCGCGTCTGAATGGAATGCAAACGCTAGGAAAATGCCGCGCTTCGGTTAGACTTTGTGGCCGCGGTTTTCCGTTTTGCACTTTTCCTGTTTTTCTCGCGCTTCTCTACGATTTTCTTGCTTTTCCTCGCGTATTCTTCGTCCTCGTCAAAAACAATTAGAGATGTTAGATATATATTGATATATGAACATATCGATATACATATAGTTTTGGAGATAATATATTATTTGATTATATGTTGTACTGGAATATATAGATATATCATCAGCGGAACTAATTTTCTGAGGATACTTCCCGTCGTTGGATCAGATATACCCGCGACTTTTGATTCTATTGCAGTTTCATCGATGTACACAAAAAAAATGGTGGTATTATTGTGCGATAGGCGGCACTTGGTTTGGAAAATATAAAATACAATAACACCTTATCATTAATGAAAAAGGTCAGTTGTATGCTCAAAAAGTGTCACTGAAACACATATTTAGCTATCTCTTCTTCTGGTTTTTACCTGTTTCGAATGCCAGGAATATCTAGTATTTGGAGGGAGTTTTCGCATTAAGGGTATTTTAAATGTTTTAAGTTTGTCTATTCCGTTTTTAATCACGATAGAGAGGAGAAGGTGGCAGGGTTGCCAGCATGGTTGCTCTCTACGGGATTTTGTGGAACGATTGTTTAGTCTATCGATAGTTTGCTGCTCAGCCAGGTCGTTCGTCGTTTTATAGATTTTACATGCGATTCCAAGCAATAAATAAAGCAGATAAGGTGTAATAATAGTGCGAACGCGACCGCAGCCCGCGGCAAAACTGCAAATCATAATAGGAAAATACCGCAGAAGCGATTCCTTGCAACAAAAACCCGCAAACGTCGTCGCCGTCGTGCCAATCGAAAAAAAAAGACAAAAATCGCGAGCTCCTGCTGTTGCTGTTGTTGTTGTGTGGTGCTGTGTGAGTGAGTGCGTTCCTCACTCTCTCTCTCTCTCTCCCTCTTTCTCGCCGCTGTCGCTGTTTTCTTTTTGTGAATTTTGTTTTTGTTTCGGCCACAACAGTTAACTATTTGTGCAAAAGCGCGTGTGCACTGCCCCCACCCCTCGACCAAAAATACAGTGAAAGAGAGGGAAAGGAAGAATAAAAGGAAAAGCCCAAGAGACACTCACACTCACGCGCGCGCTGAGTGTGTGCGTGTGTGTGTGTGTGTGTGTGCTGCGGACCGCCGCCGCCACCGCTGCCGCTGCAGTACGAAAAATCGAAGATCCCAGGACCTGCTCTGCTCCTCCGCCGCCATCGCTCTCGTGCTGGTCAAAGAGAAGAGAAAGAGAGAAGAGAGGAGCATCCCGTAAAGAACCGTAACAATGTCCACCATCGAATTCGAAACGATTGGCAGCCGACTGCAGTCGCTGGAGGCTGCGCTGCAGGCGCAGAACGAATCCCATGAACAAATCGTCTTATCGAGGCCGCGCGGCGGCAGCAGCGGCGTCAGCGGAGGCTCCTCATCGCTGGCGCGTGTCCAACCAGCACCGGCAGCCCCCGGCAGCCTTGCCGCCACCTCCACCACAGTTGGATCGGCCATCAGCATAGCCTCTAGACCCGCGCCACCAGTTCCTCAGCCAGCGCAGGCCCCCACAGCGGGCGTCTATGGCGGCACCTTTATCCCGCCCACCACCAGGAGTCCGCGTCCCACTCCAAACCTGCCACTGTGTAAGTTTTTGTCGCCGAGTGGCGAGGGGAGGGGGGTTACAAGTACCAATAAGCTGTGTGCGTGAGTGTTTGCATGTTTGTGTTCTGATAAGAAACATTGCTTGTTTCTTCTTATAAGCATTTGATTCCCCGTGTTGACAAAGGGGGCCAAACGCTATCGATTCCGTTACTGCATAACGGGACTGTGTCCTCACCCTTCTATCTACCTCCCCCTCCTTACTCGTGGTGTTTGACGATTGCATAGATAAGAGGTGTTTGGGGCGGGGGAGGATGGTCGGTCGGTCCGTCCATCGGTCGGTCGGTTGGCCCCAAGTGCGAAAACCAAAAGCAAAGCAAAACTTGTTTTCGGCAAACACACACACACACATGCAAGACTGCATATGTATGTATACCTACACACATATGAACATAAGTGCGGTATCTTATTCCATATATGGCAAAAAAAAAGCACTTGCCCATGTGTCCGTCCAGCCACAGCCATCCCCCAGTGACACAACCCTGTGGACAACTCCCCTCCACACGTTATCCTCCCTCACCGCATTCCCATTGGATTTTCATCAGCCTATGCTTTCTGTATGTGTGTGTGTGTGCGTATGTGCTCTCTCCTTCGTCGCTTACTCTCTCGCTCTGTCAATAGGTATTTTATTGGTTATTTTTTGGCATTTCCGGAGTAAGTTTCATGATACGCCGCGCCACGCCGCTCTTGCGTTTCTTCTTTCGCTCTCTGGCCCCTCGCCCCTTGCCCGCAGACCCCCCTCCACAGTCGATTGTTATGGATTTCGATTTCGAGTGTGTCTCCTCTTTCGCATGTTTACACATAACGGCATTTGTTTATGCCGTGCTTGTGTTGCCGCTGTTATTGCTAATTGTTGTTTCACTTTGAATTGTTTTTGTCACTGGTGAAGTGGGGGGAGTAAGTGGGGAGGGCGGGGCAGTTCTAGTAGCTCTTGGGCTCTCGCTCACACCTCACACAAACCCAAGTGTGGCTCGCTCCCACCCCCTCTCTCTCTCTCTTCGATCAGTACTTCGAAACGCGTAAATGGGAGATCGTAAACGGCGCACAGTGGGACAAATTAGATTTCAACCAGAATTTTGAGTAACAAAATCCCTTAGCCATGGAAAGTCGCTCGCCCTCCTGTGAATGCAGGTCGATGTATGAGAAATTAGTGCATATTATCTTGGGGTTAAGAGGCCGTCCTTCCGAGGTTTCCCCTTTCCCACCATCAGTTTTTGATTTATGAGCTTGCAAACAAATTACAGTCGACCTTCCAGCAGTCGAAGTCCACTTATTATCCAAAGAAAACGTTTGACTTGCCACCCGCTTCAGCTCGAAGAACAGACGTTCGAATAATGGTAGTTCAAGTGTAGAATGGGGCAATAAAAAAACTGTTTGAAATGTCTGAATCGGTTAGGATGTTAGGATTTGTTGTTTAATTTGTTAAATTAAAATTAATCAAAAATTGTTTGCGGAAGGAACAAAAAACTAACATATTTCAAGACATTCGCTGATACTTTCGGAGATAGTTCGGATTACGCGAAGAGACAGAGCATTGGGGGAACGTGTACCTACCGGCAGGGTGAAACTCTGGTTCGGAAGAGGGAGGAGGTTCAGAGGGTTCTAAAGTAGAAGTGATACCTTTTGTTCAGTTTATTCAATGTTTCAGGTGCTTTAGGTTTGGCCATCTGGCGCAACATTGCAAGAGCGGAGCGAAATGTTTCAAATGCGGACAAGATCACAACAAGGATATTATCCGATTCTTTTTGATAGAACTTCCCCCAACCTAAGGGATCAAGTGGAATTTCCCAGCTCAGAGTCCGCCAGGGACATTCGTTCTGTCACCTCTTCCGCGGAAGTGACCAAATCCAACAGGGCTGCCGCCCGGAACGCAGAGGCGGAACTCGATAAACTCAGACTGCTTCCAAAGGAGCGAGAAATTTGTTAGATCTCCATCCGTGGCATGTTCTCTGGCCCAGGATAAGCTAAACGCACTAGGAGCCAAACTCACAGCGTTCCTGGTTGATCCAAACAACATTATTAAAGGAGATTTATTCAGGAAATTAGAGAATTTGTCAATGCTTCCAACGCAGAACTAGATAGGCCTCAGATTGCCCAACATCCAACAATGAAGATTCTTCAGCTAAATAGACAACAACGCAATAGATTTGGGTGCTGAAAAATGCGGACTGCAGCGTTTTAGACTATTTTAGAACTTTTTCTGCAAGCCCAGAGAGGACGGTCAGGAAAAACATTCAATTCAGCATTTTCAAAATAGAGAACGACTTTGAAATTTTAGGAATAAAAACATTAAACCTCAAGAGCAATCTCAATATTTTTAGCATATATGCACCGCCATCAACAACAGTTTCACAATTTAAATCGGGCACTAAAAAGGTTTTTGAGTTTGCGGCTTCGCTTGACATTCCCTCAATAGTGGGCGGGGACTTCAACGCTAAGTCATCTATCTGGGGAAATCCGATCTGTGATCGCAAGGGTCGCAGCATTGAGAATTCCACCCAAAAGCGCGAGATTTATCTGCCTAAGTGACGGTTCCCCAACCTTCTCCAGGAGCCCATCTCAATTCTCTGCTCTTGACCTTTCTTTTTCGAACTAAAGTGCAGGGCCTAAATTCCCCCCTCCAAGGCAAGAAGATCCTTCACAACAGAACAGCCCGGCTTCTGAGGAGGAGCGCGTGAGAAACGCTTGCAGGCAAAAATTCTACCTCCCCAAAAAATTGGTTGATGCCAGAGCAACCTTGTAAGCCGACAAAAATCTACAAATCTACAATCACTTAAAAAATCGCAGAAAGCGCAACGTCTCCAAGTTTATAGAAGAGGTCTCTTCATCGCCCTCCATGTGGAGCAGGGTGAAGAACATAAAAAAATACGGTCAAATCAAAAACGTAGGGAACAAATGGACGAACGAAGATGGCAAAAAGTTTATCAATATGGTCAAAGTAACCCCATCCACGTCAAACAGTAGGCCCCTAAGAAGAATTTTCTTCCCTCCCCCCTTGTTAGGACCAGACGACCCGGAACCCCTGGAACTGAAAGAATTCCTGGCCCTCCTATAAACCAGGAACCCAAATTCGGCTAGAGGCCCTGATTGCATCTCTTTCAGGATTCTTCAAAAGCACCCGAATGAGAAAAAACAAGACATTTTTGAAATCATAAATAAGGCGTCATCCCTGAAGTCTGGCGCAGGATAAAAGTGGTACCCATCCCCAAGAAGAATGCAGACCCTACCTCCTTCCAAAACCATAGGCCCATTTGTAAATCCATAGAGGGGTTGATAAAGTTGAAGTTGGACGAGCACATAGCAAACTGTACCATGCTGCCGGTCAGGTCCTATGCCTTCAGGAGAAACAGGTCCACGGCTCTTTGCATCAACGACCTTATCAACAAGGTTCTGCAAAGAGCGTTCGACTGCGTAAGAGTGGACACATTAGAGCACAGGATGGGGTAGAGCTGGGGTTTTCGAGAACACGTCTTCGTTTTGCACTTAAATTAGCTCCGACTTAGATTATTTCAAGGGTTCTGCGGCTAACAAGCACGCTATAGACCATATAGCAGGTATCATGTTGCTCCACGGGGAAAAGAAGGATCAACTGGCAAGGGCGGCGGGTCACGGACGGGTCAGTCGCAGATGGCATTCCAGCGCCGCTTTCCTGCACGATAGGACAGGCTTTTTAGATAGCTATTACACGCACAAAACCCTTTCCTCGTTGTCCGCCGAGCTGCTTGCCATCGAGAAGGCATTAGACCGTGCTATTTTGTACAATTTCCCTCGTTACGCGCTCCTGACAGACAGCAGAAACGGGGCTCTCATTCAGGATAACTTTATCGCCTACAAAATCAGAGAAAAGATTCAACAAAATGAACATATAAAAACTGTAGAGGTCCACTGCATTCCCGGACACGCTAACATCCCACAAAACACTTCAGTTGACGCAGCAGCCCAAGCAGCCCCAGACGAGGAAAATAGTCTCAAGCACCGAGGTTACTGCTCGCTTTTCCCCTCAACATCATCCATCATACCGTGGTTCCTAGGTAAAACTAAGCCTAAAGCCATTGACGCTAAAAGAATCCACACAACACGGCAAAACTTCCCATCTCTAAGAAAGTATAATGATGTTTATAAATTCTTTGAAAAAGGAAACATCAGCGCGTGCCAAAAACTAGTTGACTTCATCGACAAAATCCAACATCTCCTATTCTTTGACTTGGTAGTTTCCACCTTCGAAAGGCGGGCGTCCAAATAATCCCACGCTACTCACAACCCACAAAAAAACAAAGTAAAAGTGTAGAGTGGTAGAATGATAGAATAGTATTCCATTTTTATGGATCTTGAACCGGGGCTACGCCTTTGTGTCGTGCCCACTCAAAGGGCTCCACAAGTAGGAATAGGTTTTTGGGAATTGCACTCAAATAAAAGGAACGATAGTTGCCGATAAGGAGTGGTGTCGAATGAAGGATTTTCAATAGAAGAATATGTTTTGTGACCCGCTCTATCTTGTGGAACAGAACAGAATCTGTTGACCTGATATTCCTTTTGTAGAGTGATAATTCATACTATACTTCGAATAGTTTATTCAGGTCCCAATCCTGCGGACAGAAGACACATAAATCATCCTACATGCTTACCGCTTAGACCAGTACAAATATTGTAATGTCTCTCGTTTGTCTTGTGCAGCCGAGGCTGGCACGAATCGGCGCCGTATGATCCTGTCGCTGCCCACACAGCCGCACCCCTCAGAAACGGAGACGGACAAGAAGCTGAAGATCATCATGGCCCAGACGGGCAAGCTGAACATAAACGGGCGCCAGTACCCGACGGACATCCACGATCTGCGGCACCTGGGCGACCTGGGGAACGGAACCAGTGGCAATGTGGTGAAGATGCTGCATGTGTCCAGCGATACGATCATTGCCGTGAAGCAAATGCGGCGCACGGGCAACGCGGAGGAGAACAAGCGCATCCTGATGGATCTGGATGTGGTGCTCAAGTCCCACGACTGCAAATACATTGTCAAGTGCCTCGGCTGCTTTGTGCGCGACCCCGACGTGTGGATCTGCATGGAGCTGATGTCCATGTGCTTCGACAAGCTGCTCAAACTCTCCAAGAAGCCGGTGCCCGAGTGCATTCTCGGCAAGGTCACAGTGGCGGTAAGTGGCGACCACTCCTTCTTTCAGAGTTGATTTCCCACTAACTTCCGCCCTCCTGTTGCCCACCCCACAGACGGTCAACGCCCTGTCGTATCTGAAGGACAAGCACGGGGTCATCCATCGGGACGTGAAGCCCTCGAACATACTGATCGACGAGCGCGGCAACATCAAGCTCTGCGACTTTGGGATCAGCGGTCGTTTGGTGGACTCCAAGGCCAACACGCGCTCGGCTGGCTGTGCGGCGTACATGGCGGTGGGTGCCCTGTATATACATATGTATATTCCTTTATTCCGTTATCCTTCCCTTCCTTTTAGCCGGAACGAATCGATCCAAAGAAACCAAAGTATGACATACGCGCCGATGTCTGGTCGCTGGGCATCACGCTCGTGGAGCTGGCCACTGCGCGATCCCCCTACGAAGGCTGCAACACGGACTTTGAGGTGCTCACCAAAGTGCTGGACTCGGAGCCGCCCTGCCTGCCCAGCGGCGAGGGCTTCAATTTTAGTCACGAGTTTCACGATTTTGTCATCAAGTGGTGCGTCCCCCTTTGGCTTCCCCGGTTGTTGATCAGAAACTGAACTCGCTTCTTCTTTTGGTTGCAGCCTCACAAAGAACCATCAGGATCGACCCAAGTACCCGGAGCTCCTGGTTCAACCGTTCATAAGGACCTATGAGACAACCAAAGTAGATGTTCCAAACTGGTTTCAGATGGTCATGGAGACGGCCGGCAAGCGGCTGCGCGTCAATGGCGATCCCACGCTGAAGAGGTGAGGAGGCCGGCAGATCAAGAGGAGCCCCCCTTGAAAACCCGACAAAAACCCCACAGTTCCTCAAAAATACTACTCCCAAATATATGTACAATCCGCGGATGATGTGGGGTTGTCCTGTATAGATCTCTCTCGCTCTCTCTCTCTCGCTCTCGCTCTCTCTCTCTCTCTCTCTCTCTTGAGCGCATCTTTTCCGTTTCCGTTTCCGTTTTCTGTTTTCTGTGCTTCTTGAGTCCAAATCTGGGAAGCACAAGCTCCTGCTAGAAGGTAGGAGAAAGGATCACAGTACCTAATCGTAGGACAAGCTACTGCCTAACCCAAAAACTATGTTTAATTTCTAATTTCTAATGCTAGCAACTAAATCCGAATTGCTTGTTTCCTTTCTTTTTATTTCAACGAATTAAATTACCCTAGGATTACAGATTCCTTACTTTTTTACTTTCCTTAGTCTTTTCTCCTGGCAAAGGATACACACTCCACTCTCTTTCCTGCTCCACCTCCTCTTAGCACTTTTTTTTTCTTTGTTTTCGTTTATGTTTTCGGCATGTTTCTTTCGTTCTCCACACGCCTTACACATAGCAATTATAGCATCATAGAATCTGTTGTTCTAGATCCTAGCAGCCTAGCTCCAATGTTCTTTCCAAGGCACTAAATGATGTATGTATCTGGCTTTCGGTCTGCGCAGTGCGTTTTGGGATAGTGCGAGAGGAGGTCTTTGCAATCCTGAAACGCACTGTAGCGGAAGGATGTCCGAAATCGAAATGGTGTAAGCCTTTGGAGAGTGCTAGTTCCCTCCCTCCCCCCATTGTAAAGTCTGTCCTGTATCCTATATCCCTTAGATCTATTCGTCTATGCTCCGTGTACTGGTACTAGATATTACTCTAAATATCAGTAATGCTCTGCAAGAAACACCCCCCTGGGAGTACTACCGAATATTTATAAACCTTTATTTGTTTCTTCCCACTTTTGTGACACTCTTTTGCGTATTATTTTTTGAAGAATCCCATTTGAAAGTGTGTGTGTGCGCAGTGTTTTTATTTTTCCTTTTTTTACCATCTTTTTATTACCATTTTTTGTAGGTTACCTAATTCCTAATACCATTTCTAAACAAACCAATACAAATACAAAACAAAACAAAAAACAAACCTGAAACAATTGAATAATGACAAAAACCATAACGAAAAATTATAAAAATATAATCGAAAAAGCAGAAGACAACCCACAAGGCAACCCATAAAAGCACCCAAAAAGCAAAACAGCATCCCTACCACTATGTGGTACCGTACGTACCACATGTGTGTGGAAAACTGTCGAGCAACCGATCAATACCGATACCCATCTGTATGCAGATATAAACCCATACTTATATATACGTATATCGACTATATATTATGATAATACCAACCAATACCAAGAACATAACTATTCAAGAGTACCCATAAACAATCCTCCCCAATCAAAAGTAAAATTCAGTAAGTACGAAGAGTTTATTACTACATTACAAACATTATTACTATTAGCCGTCTAATCATAGTCTCCATGTGCGCATATATATCCATTCTGTATCATACGATCACAAGCTTTACTAATTTTCATCAACTAATGTCCGAGAATACAGTGTACCCTTGCAGACAACGACCTAGCAATAAAGTTGAGCAAAGCCCCAACCCCTACCGAGGAAATCTACCATCTAAAGAAAATCTAAGACTTGCAGATGATATCTGTCCGTCCGTAACGTCTGTGTGAGTGCCATAGATGCTTTCTGGCATATGCAAATAATTGGGAATGCTTTACCCTAAGGAACAATCCACACTGCAATGGTACCTGATGCTTCGGTCAGCCCGAAGTTTGCTGATTTCTTGGGTTTCTTTACTTGCATGTGGCTCGCATGAGTTTTGCCTGGCTTTCACTAACATTTCATTGGTTTTGGTTTCGGTTTCGGTTTCGGTTCTGATTATAATTTTTTCCACAAAGCTCATACCACATCAAAGAAGGTAATTTCGATATTTTGAATAGTGCTTATTTGTGTTGTACAATATTTTTGCAAGCTGATAAGTTCGCCTCTGTCTTTTTTTGGTGCCCTTTCTGTTTTCCCCTTCCCCCCCTATCCGCACTTCCCCCACTTTTGATCATGTACAAGTCCTGTACATATTTGTTCACCCGATCCCTGGCGCCAAGTGCCGTGCCTCGTGGTAGTGCTTAAGCAAGCAGCTATCCTGCTGATTGGCCAATCTATAGCTGCCTAGCATTTCTATTCCCTGTTCCCCTGTCTGGCATCTCGCTGTTGCTCACTCGCTGTACCTATTTCTCTCTCTCGCTGGCTCCATCATCCTCTCGCTTGATCTCTGTTCCACACAAACACACACACACACACACACACACACACACACACACACACACGCATACACAAATACACAGAAACTGTATATACACATACACTACGAATCATTTATATATGTATATCTAAATGTATGTTTTATGTGTTGCTGTGCATACACATGGTTTGTATGTATGTTTGTATATGTACGTACATACAATATACATATGTATATATGTGTCCCATCCTTGCCTCCCAAACACACCCACACACCCCGCCACCTTCTCACCCACCCCAATCCCTTCACAATACCTTCCACCCGTCGTGTTTCTGCCCTTCTGGCCGTACATTTGTCTGTTTTCCCCTCATCTATTCTTTATCCATATCGGTATTGATGTCGAGCTATCGAGGTATCGATTAACATGAACCTTACACTAATTGCAGACCAACAACAACAACAACAGGAGCGGCAACAACAGTTGGAAATGGTGCAGCCGGAGAACCAGGATCAGGAGCTCCAACAGCAGCATCAGTGATGGGACCAGGATCAGGAGCAGCCCCAACAAAATACGGCAGAGCGGCAATATCCTACCAAGCTCCGAGCACCATGAATCCACAGAAGACAATAAAACCCACGCAGATACCAAGCTACCAGCAACCACAGGCGCATCAGCAACAGCAACAGCAGTCGCAGTCGCAGTCGCAGTATTTCATACAATCAGCCACACAACTACCTCAAACAACAACAACAAAAGCAACAACGACAGCAGGAACAACCACAAACTGCTTCGGGCACAGCGGTGGGAGCAGGAGCGGTAGCAGCAGTGCCAGCCCACTGTCGCCGGCCAGTGGGCTAAGCGCCAGCCCGCTGTCGCCGCCGAGTGGAGGCATCAGCGCCAGTCCACTTTCGCCGCCCGGTGGCATCAGCGACATAAGCAAACTGTATCGGAAGTCGCCCTTCATGCAGCGGAAGCTGAGCAACGGAAACCCTCATCATTATCAGCAGCAGCACTACAAATACAGCGATGAGAGCCCCAAGAAGGAGTCGATGTTCAGCAGTATTGGTGGGTACACATTGAAACAGTCAACAATCATCCATTTTTGTCTGTAAAGAAACAGTTGGCCAGAGGCTTCAACGAATTGGAATCGTCATCTCGCTACTAGCATCTCGTTAGCGCTCTCTCGCTGTTACCCCTCTATCACTCCCAGCGTGGCTTAGCAGCTCGCATCACCTTGCACTCGCTGGAACACCCGTACTCGTGAGGGTATCCCCATAACCATACCCCATACCCCATACCCCATATAGGAATTTGTATTCAATACTTCGAATGTTTTACAATGATAAATACTCGAAATCCCATTACAATGTGATAGATAGCCCGCTCCACCTGAAGCTATCATTTGTGGCTACTGTTGATAGTATGATTTATCTTATCTCTCTTATCTCGTTCCGCTTTGCAGGCCAATCGATTCTACGCAATCTGACGACATCGCCCTTCAGCCAAAAGAAACACCATTCAACATCGTCATCGTCGGCATCGACGACACCAACAGCAACAAAATCAACAGGAATAACAACACTGCCGCACAACAACCAAACCGCAACAACCACGGATAAAACAGCATCAGCAGCGCCAACGTCAACGCCCACAACAACAACAACAACAGCGACAGCGAAAGCACCCAGCACGCCCCAATGGCGACTGCCAGAGGATAGTCCCTTAGCCTACGACAGCTGTGATAGTAGTAGTAATGTGAATGTGAATGCGAATGCGAATGCGAGTACCCTGACCTTGGGCCTATCCTCCCCCTCGCCATCGCTGCAGCGCAGGCCATTTCCCACAGAGATACAAACGCAGGCGGCAACAACAGGCTCGTCGGTGACCTTGCAGCTGAACAGCCAACTGCAGCAGCAGCAGCAGCAACAACCACAGCGCCTGCAGCCAGGAAATCAAAGCCCCATAGGTAATAGTCAAGAAAGGACCCCCAAGGAAAAGCAAGCCCCAACGAGAGTTTAAGCCTTGTATATTAATCGGCCTTTGAATTCTCTCTCTCGTTTCAGTATTGCAACGCTTCTACCATCAGCAGAACCAGCTCCGCGAGAAGGAGGCCGCCGAGCGGTACCAACAGCAGCGCCAGCAGCCAGTCGGCGGCACCAGCACGAATCCATTCCACAGCAACTACGTGCCGCCGCCGCCCTCGACGCACTCCACATCTAGTCAGTCGTCCACGCAGTCGACGTGCTCGCAGATTGCGGCCCCCCTCGCCAGCCTATCGCCGCCCGGAGCGACGGCGGCAGCGGGACACTTTAGGGTGGGCAGTGCGGAGCAGCTGCAGTACCAGCCGCTGCCCCTAACGACGGCGGAGGTGGCCACAAGTCCCAGATCTCCAGAGCAGCCGCAACCGCAGCCCCTGCACCACCAGCAGCAGCATCCACAGCTGGAGTATGGCGGTGGGGGAGGCGGTGGCGGTGGCGGGGGCGGTGGCGGTGGCGTTGGGGGATCGATGGTGGCCA